AATACAAGAAGCTGAGACTACAGATGGGAAAAGCAACTGGAAAGATGCCCTACAGCTTCTCAATCCTTGCTTTAGTTACTTGTTTCTGAAAACAGCTCAACTAAGAGGGCCACCAGATGACTGCTGCCAAGCACTCATGGATGAAGGACTCCTTACCACAGGTGGCACCCCACTCAGTATTTGTCTCTGATGGCACTTCTTGGCCAGGCTCTGTGGCTCATATCTGTAATTCCAGCACTTCGGGAGGCTGAGGCAGGCAGATTACCTGAGGTCAGGGGTTGGAAACCAGCCTGGCGAACATGGTGAAACCCCATCTCTACTAAAAATACAAAAATTAGCCAGGCATGGTGGTGCACATCTGTAATCCCAGCTACCTAGAAGGTTGGGGCAGGAGAATAGCTTGAACCCAGGAGGCAGAGGTTGCAGTGAGCAGAGATGATGCCACTGCACTCCAGCCTGGGCAACACAGCGAGACTCTGTCTCAAAAAAAAAAAAAAATTAGCTGGGCATGGTGGTGGGCTCCTGTAATCCCAGCTACTCAGGGGCTGAGGTAGGAGAGATGCTTGAACCCAGGAGGCAAGGGCTGCAGAGAGCTGAGATCATGCCATTGCACTCCAGCCTCGGCAACAGAACAAGGCTGTGTCTCCAAAAAAAAAAAGAAAAGAAAGGACTTTTTGAGTTTGGAACAAAAAAATCTCTCAATCACATTCAGTGGATAATACATCTACTCACTGGCCCTATGTCTAACTTCCAGGACCACAGAAAACAAATACAAGCTATCACCTTCCTCATGACAACTTTTCACACTCTTCAATGAACAGCTATCATATTTTCTTGAAATTTCTTTTTCTCTTTTTTGAGACAGGTTCTCACTGTTGCCCAGGTTGGAATGCAGTGGTGTGATCACAGCTCCCTGCAGCCTCCACCTCCTGGGCTCAAGCAATCATCCCACTTCAGCCTCCCAAACAGCTGGGACTACGGGTGTACACCACCACGCCCAGCTAAGTTTTTGAATTTTTTGTAGAGACGGGGTTTCGCCATATCATCCAGGCTGGTCTTGAACTCCTAGGTTCGAGAGATCCTCCCATCTTGGCTTCCCAAAGTGTTATGATTACAGGCATGAGCCACTGCACCTGGCCTGAACAGAGAATAGATGTGACCTGTTTTATGAGAGATTTTCTGTTTGTTTTTTCACTTGTTTATTTAGTAAATCATGAAAATCTGTTTATCCAACTCACCAAAGCATGGCTAATAATATCCAACTGTTTGTGATTATGAATAATGGTGACTATGTGAGAAACATAATCAGGACTACTTAGCACAGAGGTGCACTGGTAAGAACAAGCCTTTCTGTTGGTTTGTGATAACAGCACATGGAGCCTGCTGTTACACAATGTTGCACTTAGGCTTTCGTGGGGCCCCTCTGGCTCTACATTGAGAACAGACTCAAGTGAAGCAAGGGTGGGCATGAGAAGACCAGTTAGGAGGCTGTTCCAGAAATCCAGGCAAGAGATGCTGGTGCTTGGACCTAGGTAATAGCGGCAGACGTGATGAGAAGAAAAGAGGCGGTGAGAATCTGGTCTGCTCCTAGTTTTCTGACAGGTCTAGAGCAGGGCCAGTGCAAGCTCTGGTCCACAGGCCAAATCTAGGCCACTGTTTTTGTGAGTGAAGTTTTATTGGAACACAGTTATGCTTGTTCATTTACATATGGTCTATGGCTGCTTTTGTGCTACAGAGCTGAGACAAATAGTTCTGACCTTACAGCCTCCAAAACCAAAAATATTTACTATCTATCCCTTAACAGAAAGAGTTTGCCAATCCCACGCCTAGAAAACAGGAATTGTCATTTATTGAGATGGAAACCTGGAAGAAGATAAAATGTGAGGAAACAGCAAAGCTTGATTTGGGGCATGCTAGCTGTGAGATGCCTATTAAGACATACAAGTACGGCCGGGCGCGGTGGCTCAAGCCTGTAATCCCAGCACTTTGGGAGGCCGAGACGGGTGGATCACGAGGTCAAGAGATCGAGACCATCCTGGTCAACATGGTGAAACCCCGTCTCTACTAAAAATACAAAAAAAAAATTAGCTGGGCATGGTGGTGTATGCCTGTAATCCCAGCTACTCAGGAGGCTGAGGCAGGAGAATTGCCTGAACCCAGGAGGCGGAGGTTGCGGTGAGCCGAGATCGCGCCATTGCACTCCTGCCTGGGTAACATGAGTGAAACTCCGTCTTAAAACAAAACAAAACAAAACAAAAAAAAAGACATCCAAGTAGAGATGTCAGGTAAGGTCCTGGGTGTGTGAGTCTGAGGTTCAAGGAGCAGGTCCAAGTTGGAGATATAAGCTTAGGAATCATCCAGTTAGGGTAATTAAAGCCAGGACACTGGATGACATCAGTAAGAGAATAAACCTGGATAGAAAGGACAAGAGGTTAACTACTGGGCCCTCGAATCCTAACACTTAGAAGTCAGCGAAATGAAAAGGAACCTGGCAAAGAGTGAAAAAGGAGCAGACAGAGAGAGAATGAAAACGAGGAGAATGTGCTGTTCTGGAAGTCAAAAGAAAAATGTGTTTCCAGGAGAAGACGGTGAAAGCCATGTCTAATGAGGCTGCTGGATCAGACCAGACAGTGACTCAGAGCAACCACGGGAGGCCTCGCCTGACTGGAGTTGATTCAGCAAAGGGTGCAAGGGCAAAAGGGGACGGAGAGAACAGGCAACTCATTCCAGAAGTTCTGTTGCAAAGGTTTTGGAGCAGAGATGTGGGGTAGAAGCCGGCAGGGGGAATTATGTCGAGAGTTCCTTTTGTTCATTCCCATGATGGGAAAATAATTGCATTATATAGGCTGTTAAAAAATAAAAAAAAAAAAGTCCATATGATGAAGCAAGAGAAAAAAACGAACTGCTGGAGTGAGGGCTGAGTAACTGAGGGGAGATGGGATCTGGGATCCAGGCTTCAACAGGAGCAGGGACAGTTTGTGCATAGCAAGAACTGGGCTCACATACAGGTAGGCAGACAGATGTGATGACTGGGGCTAATGGAGGTTCCCTGCCTAGGTTCTGCCTGTGTCTGTTTTCTCAATGAAACATGAAGCCAGAGTTAAGTGTGGTGGCACATGACTATAGTCCCAGCTACATGGGAGACTGAGGCAGATGGATCATTTGAGCCTAGGAGTTTGAAGCTGTAGTACACTATGATCACGCCTATGAACAGCCACCGCACTCCAGCCTGGGCAACACAGTGAGACCCCATCTCCAGAAAAAAAAAACAAAAGAAAAAGAAATGGGAAGCCAGGCCAGGCCATCAGCTGAGAGAGTGAGCATGGACAATGAGGTCCTGCACAGTGGAGAAGAAGGTATGAAATCGATCAGCAGAGTGAGTGAAGTGGGGGACATGGTACAACTGCCTGCCAGTATCAAGAGTCTACTTGAGTTTGTGATCATGAATTTGATTTTTTTGTGTTGTTGTCGTTTTTGAGACAGGGTCTCATTCCATCACCCAGGCTGGTGTGCAGTGATACCAAATTGGCTCACTGCAATCTCCACCTCCTGGGTTATGCAATTCTCATGCATCAGCCTCCCTTGTAGCTGGAATTATAGACAGGCAGCACCATGCCCACCTTTTTGTAATTTTTGTGAGACGGGTTTTGCCATGTTGGCTAGGCTGGTCTTAAACTCCTGACCTCAAGTGATCTGCCCACCTTGGCTTCCCAAAGTGCTAGGATTACAGGCATGAGCCACTGCACCCAGCCATGTGATCATGAATTTGAAATGAGACAGACAGTTCAAAAGTTTTCAATTAGTTCAAATGGTTTCAAATGGTTCTGAGTTTTTCTACAGTCTTATTCCACTGAATGAGAGAGTAGGTGGGGAATGGGATTTTATCAGGATCCTGGTTTAAATAAGCGAGTGAGGCAAAGTGAGAGAGGGTCTCTCCAAGACAGATTCCAGCAATGGCCTGACCACGGTGAGGCAAAGAGCACTGTTGTCAGTACTATACCCAAGGGAAAAAAATCACATTTGGAGCCCTGAACCCTTCAATCCTACCAGAAGACCAACAGAGCTTCTCAGAGATATACAGACAAGACATTTTAGGCAAGGGCATTCTTTATTACTGTTTTGGCTGAACCTCACTGGGTATAAACATTTATATATATGTGGGGAGTCGTCTACATTGATACCTAATGAGAAGTACAGCAACAAAAACTGCAAATACTTTCAATCGACACATGATTCTAGATCAAGAAGACAGATGATTTGGAAGGCTATCAAATTATTAGATGATATTATAATCAATGGAGGTCTCTTAGCACCCGCTTTTCCCAACTATAATCCTAAGTAATTATAAAATAATAATAATTACATGACAATATTATGTTTGATAGAAAAGTTCACAAAGAGAGATGTTTTCAAATATACAGTATCAAGAAATATTATTTCCCAACAAAGACAGTCCTGGATAGCAAGCATGAGCTCATTTATTATAAAGAAATAAACTTTTACCATAGTTGAATAGTTGTCAATGAGATAGTTCTAAAACATCCTATCAGGGAGTCTTATCCCCTGAAAAGTTAGAGAAAAAGTTCTGTGCCAATGTAGAATGAAGACGAGGAAATCTGCAATTAGAGGTTTTCATTTTGACCATTATTTTTATCTTGCATTTTCAGATAATTTTTATCTTAAAACCATCAACCAAATTCATAAAATCAGCAGAACCAAATTCAGTCTTAATCATCTTGTCATCAGAGATAATACCTAAACCTGTTCAGAAAAAGAAAAGATGGAAGTTATGGAAAGAAAAGCAATTGGTTTTAACAGACTGCAATAAAAAAAAGGCAGTAACACAACATGCTGCAATGGTATTTAAACTACTGCTTGGAGGATTTTAAAGAGCTGATGTCTGCTTCATTTTAATCTGTTGTAGAAACATCACAACCATCAGCTAGACAAAAAGCTAAGAAGAATCACAAAAGAATCCCAGGTATGAAGCTCAGGCTTACCTGATGCACCTATTGGGGAGGTAGCTGGGGTCATGTTGTGGACATTGAGACCAAGACTCTGAGAGGGTCCTGGGGCTGATGCCGCTATGGGAGGCCCCGGGGGGTTCTCCCTCTGGGGAGAAGTGAGTGGGGTGGTCGGCTGAGAGGTCTGTCCACCAGCAAGTCGTGCAAGGCGCCTCCGTCGAATCTACAACATAAGGGGAAAAGGGCATTCTATAAATAAACAGCAGAAACACAATTCTGCCAGAGAATGACATTATCCATAAGCATACCAGAGCTTAACAACTGAATTATGCCTTGAGCAAAAGTGCTCTTCTGAGAGAATAACTCGCTCTATCAGTATCCTTACAAGCTCTACCACCTCAGGTTTTAACAACTATATTTTGGCCAGGTACAGTGGTGCCTGCCTATAGCATCAGCTACTTTGGAGGCTGAGGTGGTGGGATCACTTGAGCCTAAGGAGCTCAAGATCAGCCTGAGCAAAGCAGTGAGACCCCACCTCTAATTCATACTTACATAAATACATATATATATACTGTATCTTTGTTGCTTTACCATCTGCTTATCATACCTCCTTGGCTGATATGGTGAATTTACAGTAAACATACTATGCTTTTTTTTAGAGAATCTCTTCTCTATCACCCAAGTTGGAGTACAGAATTTCAGTCGTAGCTAACTGCAGTCTTGAACTCCTAGGCTCAAGTAATCCTTCCCACCTCAGCCTCCCAAGTATCTAAGATTACAGGTGAGTGCCACCATGCACAGCTAAATTAATTTTTTAAGTTTTTGGCAGAGATGAGGTCTCACCATGATGCCCAGGCTGGTTTCAATCTCCTGGCCTCAAGTGATCCTCTCACCTCGGCCTCCCGGAGTACTAGGATTATAAACGTGAAGCACCACAACCAGCCTATGCTTGTAACACACTAAAGCTTGCTGTTATTTAAATAAAATGACCTAACTTGGTCATTTCAAATAGGTAAGATTTAAAAAGAAATAGCCAGTTGGCCGGGCGTGGTGGCTCATGCCTGTAATCCCAACACTTTGGGAGGCCAAGGTGGGCGGATCACGAGGTCAGGAGTTCAAGACCAGCTTGACCAACATGGTGAAACCTCATGTCTACTAAAAATACAAAAATTAGCTGGGCGTGGTGCCATCTGCCTGTAATCCCAGCTACTCAGGAGGCTGAGGCAGGAGAATTGCTTGAACCTGGGAGGCGGAGGTTGCAATGAGCCAAGATCACACCACTACACTTCAGTCTGGGCAACAGAACAAGACTCCATCTCAAAATAAATAAATAAATAGCCAACTTAATTCACTAAAACAATGAGAAACAAAAGTTACACTAAGATACAAATTTAACCATCACTTGTAGGAGGAAAATGATCAGGTTTTTTTTTTTTACTTGATTGCAATAAAAATATAATCTGCCATTTCTTCCTTTTAACATACAATTAAAGAGCAACACCTTATTGAAGGACAGAAATTAGCCCATTCATTGAAAATATATTTGTTGAACTCCTACTAACAGCAGGGCCTCTGAAAAAGCTTTCTAGTAGATTTACCCATGTCCCCTGAGCAAAAGAAGCCAGATGTAAAAAAACATAGACTGTATGATTCCATTTCTATCAAGTTTGAAAATAAGAAAAACTAAACTATACCATTAGTTTGGATAATGGTTATCCTGGATGGGAAGGGGGCCAAAGAAGCTTGGGAGAGGCAGGAGTGAGATTCTAGGGGTCTGGTAATGGTGTTTTGTTTTGTTTTAATTTAATTTTAGCTAGATACTAGTGTCACAGATAGGTCCACTTTATGAAAATTCACTGGGTTGTATACTTACAATATGAGTAATCAAGTCATGGGTATTCATCTTATTTATTCATAATTTATATGTTAAATATAGTCTTCTGTATAGAATGCAATGTTTTTTTTTGAGACGGAGTTTTGTTCTTGCCACCCAGGCTGGAGTTCAATGGCACCATCTCGGCTCACTGCAACCTCCCCCACTCAGGTTCACCTCCCGCCTCAGCCTCCCAAATACCTGGGACACCTAATTTTTAATTTTTTGTAGAGATGGCATCTCACCATGTTGCCCAGGCTGGTCTCAAATTCCTGGGCTCAATCCTCCCACCTCGGCCCCCCCAAAGTGCTGGGATTACAAGTGTGAGCCGCCACGCCGGGCCAAGTTTCATTATCTTACAGACTGCAAAATTTAGGAGCTCATGGTTGATTTCTAATTCAAATTTAACCTTTATTACTGACTACTTTACTTATCTGGAGCCTATCTGGGTAAGTCACTTAACGGCTCTTGCTTCGGTTTCTGCACAATGGACATCTGTACACTGCACGTCTGTACAATGGGCATGAAATCATCAGCTGAGCGTAGTCGCTCTTGCCTGTTATCTCAGCACTCTGGGAGTCCGAGGCGGATGAATCATTCGAGGTCAGGAGTTCGAGACCAGCCTGGCCAACACAGCAAAACCCTATCTCAACTAAAAATACAAAAATTAGGCTAGGCGCAATGGCTCATGCCTGTAATCCCAGCACTTTGAGAGGCCAAGGCAAGCGGATCACAAGGTCAGGAGTTCAAGACCAGCCTAGCCAACACAGTAAAACCCCGTCTCTATTAAAAATACAAAAATTAGCTGGGTGTGGTGGTGGCATGTGCCTATAGTCCCAGCTACTCCGAAGGCTGAGGCAGGAAAATTGATTTAAACTGGGAGGCGGAGGATGCAGTGAGCTGAGGTGGCACCATGGCACTCCAGCCTGGTCACAGGGCGAGACCCTATCTCAAAAATATATATATATACAAAAATTAGCTGGGCATGGTGGAACACAACTGTAATCCCAGCTACTCGGGAGGCTGAGGCAGAAGCATCACTTGAATCCGGGAGGAGGAGGTTGCAGTGAGCTGATATCACACCACTGCACTCCAGCCTGGGCAATGGAGACTCCATTTCAAAAAATAAGAAGAAAAAGAAGTATCTTCCTCATAGAGTTGTGAGAAAATCACCACCCTGTCCCTTTCCCTACTTATTTTTTCTTCCATGGCTCTCATCTGCCCTATGACATGTGTAATATATTTATTTGTGTACTGCTTAGTTACCATCCCCCTTCTTGAAGTTTCTTAAAGGCAAGGACCTCTCTGTTCCTCTTTCTCTGACAGATCACCAGTGCCTAGAACAGTGCCTGAGACACGGTAGGTGCTCTCTAAATATTTGCTGAATAAATAAAAAATACTAGAAAAATGTACTGAACATAAAATTGACTAATTTATTAGCCGACATTAATTATCATTAGCATTGAAAGAGCATACCTACTATTCTTGGCAAAAACATGAAGCCACCTTAAACCTGAATGCCACGTTCAGCCCAAGATGTTAAATTCAGATGTTCTACTCAGTGATATAAACAGAGAATAAATGTTCTGACTCACTGCAATACAGGGCTTAAGAAAGAAAGGATTCTAAGGTTTCCAAAAAGGTTGAAGAATCAAGACTTTGTGAAGCATATTGCAGACTGTTAAGCAGGAAGAAAGAGTTAAGAGACAGAGGCAGTTCCATACACGATATAAGGGGTAGGAGAAGACTGGGGGAATACATCCTGCCTCATCTTAAATATCTGCTGGAAACATTAGGAAGAGCCATGCATGGGGCAGTGTTCTGGGCTGCCCACAGCAGGGCTCTCAGTAGAGGACAATGCCCTTTGGTGGTCTGACCGCCTTCTACACTGGTGGTAGTTTTGAACTGGTTTAGCAAACTGAGGCCCTGGGAATATATGGATAGGGGACTCACAAGAGAATGGTTTTATGCAATCACAGGTATAAAGGCTTTATCTCCAGCCTGGGCAACAAGGTGAAACACCAACTCTACTAAAAATTCAAAAACTGAGCCAGTTGCAGTGGCTCATGCTTGTAATCCCAGCACTTTGGAAGGCCGAGGTGGGTGAGATCACTTGAGGTCAGGAGTTTGGGAACAACCTGGCCAGCATGCTGAAACCCCAGCTCTACTAAAAATACAAAAATTAGCCAGGCATGGTGGTGGGCACCTGTAAACCCAGCTACTCAGGAAGCTGAGGCAGGAGAATCACTTGAACCTGGGAGGTGGAGGCTGCAGTGAGTCAAGACTGTGCCACTACGCTCCATCCTGGGCAACAGAGCAAGACTCTGTCTCAAAACAGAAAAGAAAACAAAACAAAAGAACTGAGTCGGGAAATCACCTGAGCCTGGGGAGGTGAAGGCTGCAGTGAGCCATGAACTCCAGCCTGTGCGACACAGTGTGACCCAGTCTCAAAAAAATAAAAAATAAGGCTGGGCGTGGTGGCTCACGCCTGTAATCCAAGCACTTTGGAGGCCAAGGCGGGTGGATCACCTGAGGTGGGGAGTTCAAGACCAGCCTGACCAACAAGGTGAAACCCCGTCTTTAAATAAATAAATAAATAAATAAATAAATAAATAAATGTTTAATTAATTTGATTACTAAGAGATGCAACCTCACTTTTTATCACAAACAGAACATAAGGGATAGACACCAAAAATAGTCACAACACACCAAAATATGATTAAACATTTTTCTCTTTGTTTACTTTTTTAACATTAAGCCTGGAGGATTGGTATAATCTTCCTTAAGTTAAACAAAAGTCCTTTTTAAGAGAATTTTGTTTTCCCATATCTCACAGAGAAAAAAACAAAAGCACATAAAAAAAGACTTCCAATTCCTCAACTTATGTCCTAAACCACAACTCAAAGCCGCACATACTAATCATGAAATCTCATTCCTAGAGTTTTTCCTGTCTTGTCTGTTTCAGTTCTTATTTCACAAATGATGCTAAAATAGGGCTTTCTCCTAATTTGTTATATCATGAAGCAGCACTTCCTACCCTCACGTTCCTGATGAACTAAAAATAGATTCAAAACAGCGAGGGCCATTGTGATTTCAGGCAGAAGCTAAGACAGGATGAACCAAACTGTTCCTCTTATTTTTAGCAGTGTGTGGGGAAAAACACCCATAAAACATTGATATAAGGTTAATAAGTAGTCACTCTACTCAAGCGTCTTACTTTTCTATTTTTTTAAAAAAATTAAATTCCAATATAAAGAAAAATAATTGCAAATGCTTTCTCTTTGGGGTAGTCTCCTTATAAAGATACCTCCTAGTAAAATAAATAAATAAATAACTCCTAGTTTTATTATTGATTTTCTTTTTTCACAGCTGGCCACATAACTTATTAAATCTATGACAATTTCACAATATGCCTAATCTAAGTCCAACAATGTTTCTCCAGAAAATGCATTTACATCCAAACATCACAGCTTTGTGATCTAAAATTCGTCAGTTTCCTTTTTAAAAAAAAAAAATGTCGTGGTCAGATGCGGTGGCTCAAACCTGTAACCTCAGCACTCTGGGAGGCTGAAGCAGGGGGATGACTTGAGCTCACAAGTTCAAAACCAGTCTGGGCAACGTGGTAAGACCTCCTCATCTCTACAAAAAATTTAAAAATTAGCTGGGCATGGTGGCACACACGACATGTAATGCCAGCTATCAGGGAGGCTGAGGCAGGAGGTCAATACTGCAGTGAGCTATGATTGTACCACTGCACTCCAGCCTGGGTGTCACAGTGAGACCCTACCTCTAAGTAGAAGGAAAAGGGAAAGAAGGAAGGGAGGAAAGGAGGGAGGGACAGACAATGATATACGTTATATTTCACTTCAATGTCTACTGCTTTTAAAATGAGGTATATTTATGTTATGTGTATTTTACCACATTTTTTAAAAAACTGAATTGAAAAAGCCAGTTGTAAAAGGGTACACATAGTGATTCCATTTATTTTTTAAAAGGATGTAGATTTACATTATAATGGACATTATCAGTGCAAATTATACATAAATGCAAATGGCAATGACATGATAAATTTCCACTTTCCTCATCTTTCTTCTTTTACATATTTTCTGATGAAAGCAATAAAAACCATTATTATTTCCCTCTACGCCTACCATGGGAAAACATTCAGATGAAAGTGCAGCCTTGCTCCGTATCGTCTTCACTCCAAGACCCAGGGTGACGGAGCAGCTTCTACTGGGAACACTACCAATCGCCCAGGCAAAGGGCAAGAGGAAGGGCAAACTCCACCCTGGCCCAGCAGTGGCACATTCAATTCTGTTCCGGTTTCACTGGCCAAAACAGGTCACAGGGCTGAAACTACCCCCAGCAGCGTGGGGAAACACATCCTTCCCCAGACAGGGGTAGTGAATATGTGGACAATACAGTTAGGTCCAGCAGTCTCCTCTTCCTTCAACACACAGCTGGGCACGCGTGGTAGCTTGCTGTGGAGTTGCGCCTTCCTCTTCCGCATGCTCCTCCCCTCCGCTTGCCCCATAACTGCTCTATATCCTGCCCTGCACCTGGCTCTTTGCTCAAATGTTACCTTCTCAATGAAGCCTTCTCTTCCTTCCTCCTAGTTCCCATCTGCTTTAGTGGTTCTCCATACTTTCAAACAGTTCAGCCAAAACCAACAAGTATGTGTGTGTGTATACAAGTATACACACACATTTACATACAGAGAAAGCGAATGTGGCAAAAAATAAACTCATGAATCTAGGTGAGTCAATCAAACTTTTTGCAGATTTAAAAATTTTCAGGGCAGGGCATGGTGGCTCACACCTTAATCCCAGCACTTTGGGAGGCCGAGGCAGATGGATCATGAGGTCAGGAGTTCAAGACCAGCCTGACCAACATGGTGAAACCCTGTCTCTACTAAGAATACAGAAATTAGCTGGGAACGGCGGCAAGCGCCTGTAATCCCAGCTACTCAGGAGGCCAAGGCAGGAGAAATCGTTTGAACCCAGGAGGTGGAGTTGCAGTGAGCCGAGATCATGCCACTACACTCCAGCCTGGGCAATATAGCGAGTCTCAAAAAAAATAATAAGAATAGAAAGTTGAGGGAAAAGTTAGACTCACCAGCATGGCTTTTATTTTTTATTTTTTTCTCTAGCCATGTGCGGCTGCGCACAGTAGGCACAGAGATGGCCTAGCCAGTGTTGCCGAGAGAGGAAAAGTAAGACACGAGGTGACAGACAGTGGAATGGAAGGGTAACAATCATGATGCAGACACAGGAAGCCCTGGTAGCACCTGGATTCTTGATTCCAGTCGCTTCCTGTGACCCAGCTATCTTTCTGTCCCTAGGTTCAGAAAGAACACTCCTATATCCTTAAAATAAATCCCATTTTTGGCTTAAGCTCAATAAGGTGTTATACTACTTACTGCACGTATGCGTAGAAATACTTCCATTCCCCAGAGATGCAACCAGCAGTTTGCTTGTGAATGGAGTATCACCTTACTTTTTTCTACTACCTTAAATTAGGTTTTCAGGATTCAAATTCATTTATGCCAACTGTATATTCATGTAATAACTGAATCATCCCAGAGAGCAATTTTGAAAATCTAGCAACATATAAATGCTATGTGCTTATTATGTGACTTGAGTTTCTTTTTCAGGACAGGTAGGGGTTAGGCAGATGAGGGACAAAGGAGTGCAGGCAGAGGTTGGGAGACTTTGTGAGCACACACACCATTTAGGGAACGCTGAGCAGTTGGTAAGAATGAGTGTGTGTGGACATGGTGAGACACAGGCAAGAAAGGCAAGCAGCAACAAGCTCGTGACGAGCTGTGAATACCATCCTAAGACTCTGAACTTGTTCAGGAAGGCAAGGAAGAGACTGAAAGATTTAAGCAGGGGAATAACTGGGTAAGATGTACCTTCTTTCTTTTTTTTTTTTTTTTAATTGAGACAAGAGTTTCATTCTTGTTGCCCAGGCTGAAGTGAAATGACATGGTCTCAGCTCACTGCAACCTCTACCTCCTGGGTTCAAGGATTACAGGTATGAGCCACCTCATCCAGATGTACCTTTGAAAACAAATCACTCCAGCTGTTGTGTGGAGAATGAATGGAGGCAGGCCACAAGCAACCCTGAGCAATGGGGTTGGGAAAGGGACAGCTCCAGAGATACTTCATGTGTGTCCCCAACAGAACTTGGCTGTTATTTGGAAGTGAAAAGTGAGGAAGATGAATAATCTAGATTTCAGGCCTGGATACCTAAATGAATGGTAAAATACCCTAAAACTGAGAATACAGAAGGAGATTTTATTTTATTTTATTTTTATTTATTTATTTTTTTTTTTTGAGACAGAGTCTTGCTCTGTCACCCAGGCTGGAATGCACTGGCACGATCTCGGCTCACTGCAACCTCCAGCTCCTGGGTTCAAGTGATTCTCCTGCCTCAGCCTCCTGAGTAACTGGGACTGCAGGTGGGTACCACCCTGCCTGGCTAATTTTTCATATTTTTAGTAGAGACGGGATTTCACCGTGTTAGCGAGGATGGTCTCAATCTCCCGACCTTGTGAACTTTTGGCCTCCCAAAGTGCTGGGATTACAGGTGTGAGTCACCAAGCCCAACCCAGAAGGAGATTTTAAGAAGATGGGTTATGATTAGATTACCAAGTATGAGGTACCTGGAAGAACTGCCAACCCAAAATGTCCTATAGGCTGCCAACATCTATTTTGTGTTTGTTTTTGCTTTTTTGAGACAGAATTTCATTCTCTGTCAGCCAGGCTGGAGTGCAGAGGCGTAATCTCAGCTCACTGCAACCACTGCTTCCTGGGTTCAAGCAATTCTCCTGCCTCAGCCTTAGTAGCTGGGACTATAGGCATGCACCACCACACCCGGCTAATTTTTGTATTTTTATTAGAGATGAGGTTTTGCCATATTGGCCAGGCCAGTCTCGAACTCCTGACCTCAGGTGATCCCCCTGCCTCGGCCTCCCAAAGTGTGCCCAGACCCAACATCTGTTTTATTCGCCATCACTACTTTCTTGTTCGAGGAAAGACTTAAAGTGATTAACAAAAAGTACATTTAAAAGGCTGGGTGCGAGCCAGGCACGGTGGCTCAAGCCTGTAATCCCAGCACTTTGGGAGGCCGAGGCGGGTGGATCACGAGGTCAAGAGATCGAGACCATCCTGGTCAACACGGTGAAACCCCGTCTCTACTAAAAATACAAAAAATTAGCTGGGCATGGTGGCGCGTGCCTGTAATCCCAGCTGCTCAGGAGGCTGAGGCAGGAGAACTGCCTGAACCCAGGAGGCGGAGGTTGCGGTGAGCCGAGATCGTGCCATTGCACTCCAGCCTGGGTAACAAGAGCGAATCACCGTCTCAAAGAAAATAAAAAAAAAAAAAGGCTGGGTGCGGTGGTTTACGCCTGTAATTCCAATACTTTGGGAGGCCAAGGGAGGTAGATTACCTGAGGTCAGGAGTTTGAGACCAGCCTGGCCAACATACTGAAACCCTATCTATACAAAAATCAGCTGGGTATGACAGCTCATGCCTATAATCCCAGCTACTTGGAAGGCTGAGGATAGAGAATCGCTTGAACCCACGAAGCGGTTTCAGTGAGCTGAGATCACACCATGGCACTCCAGCCTGGATGACAGAGCAAGACTCCATCTCAAAAGAAACAAACAAACAAACAAAACATAGACATTAGATATATTTTCAATTTAATTAAATTAACAAATTTAATTCAAAGAGATAAAGAAATTAGGACAGAAGTAAAATGATGGTAGGAAAAAAAAAAAAAAAAAAGATAAAGCCAGGAGTGAGATCAGCACACACTATACACTTACAACAACACAGTAAGTAACTGACAGCCCTCCTCAACCTCAGCGGATGCTTAATGGCAAAACACGATTCAACGGAACAAGTTTTAGAGCGGCCCGAATAAGAGATCACGCATCAGCTTTGCTGGTGCGGCTTGACTTCAGGGTAGAGTTGAGAGTACCTAGTGCAGGGGTTCAAAATCTGGGAACCATGAAGGCCAGGAGGACCTTCAATTCTCTCAAGGTTTTCAAGGAGGCCCTTACTCAAAAAAAATTTTAAAAGATGAGTCTCCCAAGGAATGCCCTTCACTCAATCCTCCATAAAAATTTGCTCTCTGGCCAGGCATGGTGGCTCATGCCCCTAATCCCAGCACTTTGGGAGGCGGGCGGATCACCTGAGGTCAGGAGTTCCAGACCAGCCTGGGCAACATGGTGAAACCCCATCTCTAATAAAAATATAAAAGATTAGCTGCGTGTGGTGGCGCAAGACTGTAATCCCAGCTACTCGGAAGGCTGAGGCAGGAGAATTGCTTAAACCCAGGAGGCGGAGGTTGTAGTGAGCTGAGCTGAGATGATGACACTTGCACTCCAGCCTGGACAACAGAGAAAGAACTCCATCTCAAAAAAAAGAAAAAAAAAAAAAAACTTGTTTTGCACAATTACAGAAATGTGGTCAGTTGTCTGTTCCTCTCTTCTGATATCGCCATTTTATACCTTATCATTAAAGGGTGGATTTGAATACTATAAATTCTACAAGTAAATATGCCGTAGGTTTGTAGTATGCTTCACTCATGCATCTCATTTACATCTCACTGTCTTTTGAGGTAAAAATAAAAACAGAAGACAGAAGGTAGAAACAAACTCTTGTCCAGGGGCAGGCGCGGTGACTTACACCTGTAATCCCAGCGTTTTGTGAAGCCAAGGTGGGAGGATCACTTGAGGCCAGGAGCTGGAGACCAGCCTGAGCAGCATAGTAAGATGCCATCTCTACAAAAATATTTTAAAAATTAGCCGCCATGGTGGCACGTGCCTGTGGTACTAGCTACTCAGGAAGCTGAGGCAGAAGATCGCTTGAGCCTAGTGAGCTACAACTGTGCCACCACGCCCTAGCCTGGACAACAGAGTGAGACCGTCTCCAAAAAAAAAAAAAATTGTCCAGAATCTCACTAGCTCACTAGAGATTCTAAAATACGCAGCAAAATGAACCTCTATCCCTTAGAAGTCCAGGTGCCTGAAGGATGGCTTATTTTCTGATGACCACATATAGGAGTATTTCAACGGCTACTAAAACCCCAGAAAGGTTTTCATTTTGTTTTGTTTTTTTTGGTAAAGGCAAATGCCATCCATAAACATTCAGGAATGATTCCAATCTTCTGAAGCCAGCTCCTCTGGGGAGGTCAGAGAGGAAATACAGTCATGGGCTCCATAATGACGTTTTAGTCAATGACAGACCGCATACACCACAGTGGTCTGGTAAGATTATAATATCTTTTTTATTTTATTTTTTTTTTTTTTTGAGACGGAGTTTCGCTCATGTTACCCAGGCTGGAGTGCAATGGCGCGATCTCGGCTCACCGCAACCTCTGCCTCCTGGGTTCAGGCAATTCTCCTGCCTCAGCCTCCTGAGTAGCTGGGATTACAGGCACCCGCCACCATGCCCAGCTAATTTTTTTGTAGTTTTTAGTAGAGACGGAGTTTCACCATGTTGCCCAGGATGGTCTCGATCTCTTGACCTCGTGATCCACCCGCCTCGGCCTCCCAAAGTGCTGGGATTACAGGCTTGAGCCACCGCGCCCGGCCAGATTATAATATCATATTTTTACTGTGCCTTTTCTATGTTTAAATATACAAATACTCACCTTACAACTGCATAAAGGATTCAGTACAGTCATATGCTGTACAGATTTGCTGCCCAGAGCAATACCCAGGCTATACCGTAAGTATCCTAGGAGTTATACTATAGCGCCTCAGTGCGGAATAGGCTATGCCATCCAGGTTTGTGTAACTGCACCCTATGGTGTTCACATAATGGTGAATTTCTGTCGTTAAGTGACTGTAGCTGCCTGATTTAAATCACCATGCAAGTTATACTCATCTACCCCCAAACTTTTCCAACCCCCTCCACACACACACACAGGGACCTCACTGCGGCATAGTACAAGACTGGCTCCCAGGAAGACAAACAGGTTTTCCTGCTTCTCCTCATTGGTCATGACTTAAAATGGTTCTTCCATATCCCCTACTAAAGCAGGCCCTTAGTAAACAAGTAAACAAAGCACTAGCAAAGTCCCCAGAGTTGCCACCCCTCAGCTGTCTTAGATAAGAGGAGCCTTCCTTTGGCTTGAGCTGAAGACTTATGCCCCAGAAGTGCCACTCTGATTGTAAGAAAGGAGTGGAGACAAAAATGCCTAAACTAAAAATGGGAGCCTCCAGATCTCCTCAACAACTTCAGATGCCTATATCTGTGGTCACTGTGACATGTGGAGGTGAGAGGCATAGAGGAATGGGATGGACCAGGAGGGTGTTCTTGGGATGGGATTGGGCTGCTGGCCTTCACACCTCAGCCTTGCCCTATGCATCCATAGCTTTATGCACAGCCTCTTCGTCTCCCAGGAACTGCATGAGCTCAATGGGCTTCAAGCTCCTGTCCAATTCATAGACAATGGGAATACCCAGGCTCGGCTCCATGATGCCCTATTCCAGGAGACCCTCCCAAGGCTCAACCATGCCAGGAAAGCTGCTGCCAGGGGCCTCAATCAATACCTGTTTCCTCTCCTGGGTGTGGGGAATTATTTCTTCATTCCAAAAGGCCAGAGGTCCAACAACAGTGCCCTTCAGACTCTTACAGAAAAGCAGGTGCCCTACAGGGAAGTCTGCGCACCAGCAATCCTTACTGCTGTTGCTGTATAACAGATGTTCAGGCCGGGCACAGTGGCTCACGCCTGTAATCTTGACACTTTGGGAGGCCGAGGTGGGTGGATCACCTGAGGTCAGGAGTTCAAGACCAGCCTGGCTATCATGGTGAAACTCTATCTTTAAAAAAATTAAAAATATAGAAAATTTTTAAAAAGAGAGATGTTCAGCTCTATCAAAGGCATCCAGATCTTTATCTGGGCCTCATGGCTCTTGGCAACAGCTTCTGCTTTTTTGAGGCCAGTCAGACCCTCACAGTGCTACTCCATTAGGTGCACCTACTGGCAGCCACATCTGGTCAGTGGCATCCAGTACTGTCCAGGGGGCTGGCACTGCTGTCTTCCGACCTGAGGTGACACAGATGTCAAACTCACAGCCAGCATTTCTCAGTGCCTCCCAGAAGGCTCAGGTCGGTGTCACACCAGCTGCTGAAGTGGTTCTCCAGGTGCCAGGTACCCTTGCAGTACCAATCAGCGCCACCCGCAGGCAGCAGCTGAGGTGGGCTCAGGATGCAGCATTAACTGTGGTCACTGAGATTACTGTGGTCACTGAGATTCCAGAGTCCCATTGCCTGGCTCCCAGTGCATACCAGCTTTGCGCCCCATAACCCCTACCCAGCTTCTAGTGCCCCTGGCCCACCACCCAGCAACCCATGCCCCACTGCCTGGCTCCTGTGCACTTTCTCCAGCACAAGTTTTAACACATAAAAACCTAACAGCTCAACAAGCCCAGCTTCCCTATGTCCGCATTAACGAGTCAAGTACCAAGGCTTCCAAGCAATTGAGAAATGTTATAGGATGAATATGACAGAGCAGAAATAGACAAGGGTAGAGCAGCACAGTCACCCTGCAACTGCATTTTTCCAATCAATTCCTGCTTCACGTTCCAGGTTACTTACCCAACTCAAAAAAACGTTTACTCAACGGTTACAAAAAGCTTGATTGCTCAACCACATTTCTTCTCCAAAGAATACTGTAACCATGTCCAGGACTTACTCCCAAATCAAAACCCTAAAGCATCTAGTGCTTTTACCCAAGCACTCCCCTACAGCTCAAATGTGTCACCTCCAGAAGGGGACCATCCATGTCGGCTCCTGGCTTCAGCCAGGGTACTCCTGGCACTCCACTTTAATTGTAATAGAGTCCCTTTCACTCTCATAAGAGTCCTGGTGTGGACATGACCTGAGAAGGTCACCCCACATCTGACAGCCCAGCTGTTCCTTCTACTCTAACCTCTCTTCACCTACATACCCTCCACTGCCTCTCATGCTTCCCTTCCCTGCCAAAGGAATGCAGGCAAGGTGAGTCACCTTCCTCCATGAGAACTTTCCCAGGTGAGTCAATCTCGAAAATGAAGCACAAAATACTTACAAAGGCCAACTTCTGGCAATTACTAGCAAAATACACATTTTTCTTTTCTTTTTTTGAGACAGGGTCTTGTTCGGTCCCCCAGGCTGGAGTGCAGCAGCACGATTTCAATTCACTGGCAGCCTCAACCTCCCAGGAAGAACTGCTTGAGTGCAGGAGTTAGAGACCAGCCTGGGAAACACAGCAAGACTCTCCCTCTTTTTCTTTGTTTTTTGCCACTGAGCTGGACAAAGCAAGACTCTATCTCTATAAAAAATCAAAAAATTGGCCAGGCATGGTGGCTCACGCCTGTAATCCCAGCACTTTGGGAGGCCAAGGCGGGGTAGATTGCTTCAGGTCAGGAGTTCAAAACCAGCCTGGCCAACATGGTGAAACCCTATCTCTAAAAAAATAATAAATACATAAATAAATAAATTAGCCCGGCATGGTGGTGTGTGCCTACTCAGAGGCTAAGGCAGGAGAATCGCTTGAGCGCAGTAGTTTGCAGCTGCAGTGAGCCATGATCATGCCACTGCACTCCAGCCTAGGCAACAGAGACTCTGTCTCAAGAAAAAAAAAAACTGTAAATGATATTTTCTCAGTGAGAAGGAAAAAGTTGTGATCCTTTAATTTTCCAAAGCCAGGCAGTAATTAATTGTATCTTTTTTTAAATACAAGGAATTTTATAAACTATAACAAAAATTGTTAATTGTGCTTTTTGCATCTAATCAATAACACGAAGAACGTTAAATATACTTAACCCCATTCTGCCAGCTGGTGAAAACTAAGGACCAAAGGCATAAAACTGCCTAATTAAAGTGCTTTCTTGAGTCACCCATGACACTTAAAATATTAATATTACTACTTCAAATTAGAATAATAAGGGGCCAGGCGTTGTGGCTCACATCTGTAATCCCAGCATTTTGGGAGGCTGAGGTGGGCAGATAACCTGAGCCCAGGGGTTCAAGACCAGTGTGGCAAAACCCCATCTCTACAAAAA